TAATTTGAAAAAAAAAAAAAAGAATATAAGAAGAATAGAAAGAATAGAAAAAATGAGATTTTTTTTTTTCTTTATTTGTCTAAAGCAGACTAATTCTTACCCTAATGTCAGGAAGACTGCTACGAAAAATACGAAAAAGCAACAACAATAAACACAAACATCACAAAAAAGAGAAGAGGGCTGGGACTTCAAGAGTGTGAACGGAAACGAAAGTATAAAGAAGCCAACAAAATGCTTATGAGTCGCGCGAGCAGGCACACCTCCCGTCGCTCGCGCACAGTCGCTTTGTGGCGTTTTATATTTGCCAGCTACCGGTGAGTTTTATAAGTTTATAAGTTACAAAACACAGTTCTGTAGAGGATTAGCGGAAGACAGAGACACGTGTGGCTCGCCTACCAGCTCTCTAAACTCAGCGTGAGAAGTACCAGTTGGTGGTTGTTGTCGTTGTGAAATGGAGTTGTCGGAGCACATCAAGACCGCTAATGTTGAAGATGTTACCCTGAGAAGACCTTTCCATCCAGCGCTCAGAGGAACCCTGTGCGTTACCAGCCACCACCTTCTGTTCTCAGACAGAAAGGATGAAGCTTCCTGGCAACTTCTCATTCTCCTCAAGAACATCGATGCCATTGAGAAAAGGTAGAGAGACAGTTGTCCTCATCAGCTGGAGTCCAGGTTTGACCAATGCATGCGTGTGCTGTAAAACTAGGCGACGGTAATTATAGCCTGGTGATGGAAAAATATCATAAACCAGCCTTATGTTTTGTTGGTTTTATCTGGTTTAAGATGGTCTTTCAGCATTAAACCAATTAAGACCATCTTAAATTACATTTTAAATATTTTACAATTATTGCTCTACAAAGCTATTTGTATCTGATCTAAAACTTCATTTTAGTTTTGTTCATGTAACCAAATATTTAAGTTGATTCAGTGGTGTTAAATAATATCTCTGACTTAAAGAAAATCTGTTAATTTAGATTTTACCGTATCAAGATTTGTTTCAGAAGGATTTTTTTATTGATGTGTATATTGTTGATCACTGCTGAAACATATTCAGGACTTTATTACAGCAAATGAAGACACATGTCCTTATTCATGTCATATTCTTATTCATCCAGACATCTGTTTTTGAATCTTACTGGGTCACAATTGTGTATGTGTTTGATCCCTGAAGTGACCTGCTTCTGTAATAATAAACAAATTCTCTCTTTCTCTAATTTCACCAATCACTTTTCCTGCATGTCAGTATCGAGAATCTTTTCGGATACCCCAGGTACACTTCTAAAGCAGGCCCAATGTTTGACTTGTATTACTCATTGAAGCTGTCATTTTATTCTGATCTGGGATCTGCTGTTAATTTATACAGTAATGATAAAAATGAGGAGAGAAATGTGTCGGGCAGCATGTTATGTCAGAATAAGAAGGCATCTTTCAAAATGAGCTGTGCTGGCAACATGTTCTTAGCTTATGGCAGAGAGAAAAACAGAAAAAAGAGTATTTTGCAAGATATTCGTGCTTTGCAATGAGCATTTACGCAACATATCATATCTCTCTGACATGCTTTTTTGTGTTTTTAATACATGCAAAGCAACAGTGTTTATGAACATGAAGTGTTAAACATCCAAATATGGAGAGACAAAAAGAGAGACTGTTAGCTTACGTTCTATTAAAGTTCAATTTAGAGCTCAGTCATACCTCTGCAATTTATCTCATTGTCTCTCTGCTAGCTTTACGCTCATGGCTTGTTTTTGCTTCCTGCTTCCGTCTCTTCTGAGGCCCCAATGGAGATGATTGTATGGAATTTGAGAGTGTGAGAAAACATGGAGGAATGTACTTAAATGTGTGTGGGGGTGTTTGTACATGTGTCTGATACAGGGCTGTGGGATCCTCTGGTACTATCACCATTAAATGTAAGGACCTGCTGGTTCTTCAGTTGGAAATTCCTGGAATGGAGGAATGTCTGAACATAGCCAGTTCTATAGAGGTACTAAATATAGTTATCACTAGCCATGCTTGTTACAAGGATTAGTATTAATAATATGGGTAATATTTAGGATTCGGTATACTACTTTTCAAAAGTTTGGGGTCTGTAAGATTCGTCAAAGTTTTGAAAGAAGTCTATTGTGCTCACCAAGGCTGCATTTATTTGTTAAAAAACACATTAGAACAGTAATATTGTGAAATATTATTACAATTTTAAATATCTGTTTATTATTTGAATATAATTTAAAATGTAATATGAACAAACCCCCTCAAATCGAGCAGCTTGCACCGATATTACATTTCTACCTTGTTATGGTTGATAAGAGTTGGCCAGTATTAAAATTCTGTACTATTTTGTACAAATAAAAAAATAAAATAAAACATTAAAATTCAAATAAATAATTTACAATGTAATATATATTTTGAGATTTAATAAAGATTTCATTTAGCAGTGTTATTATAATATTAGTTTTTAATGATTTACTTTAAATGAGCATTAGATTATGGCAAAGGTTTTTATCTAAATCTTAAAATATCCAATATTGGCCAAAAACAATAAATAAATAAAAAAACCTGTTAAAAATCCTGAATACTATGGGTAATTACAGATTGTCATTAAAGATTATTTAAAGCCAATCTTTACTCTAGAAATACAAGTTGAGTCCAGCACTGCCTCAGCTGTGAGTGAGAGTAAACTAATATCATCTCATGTCTCTGTAGGCTCTTTCGTCTCTGGAAAGTATGACAGAGATGTATCCCTTCTTCTACAGACCGTCACACCTTACTCTGCACGGCCCATGGGGCCTGTCCTCGACAGAGCAATATTACAAACAAACAGAAAGACTGGTGAGCTACACACTCTTTAACTGTGTTTTCTTTCTTTCACTTTCACTTCCCTTTCCTTCAGTTACTGTCACTCTCTGTTTATCTTGCTTTAAAAACCACACACAAGGACAAACACAAACAAACGATGCTGAAAATTATTACTTCAAGGTCAAATGTTACCTAATATACGCTATTGTTTCATTTTCTGAAAGAAAGACAAACAGGAAGCACTTTGTTTGCCACAGGAAACAAAAAGCAGTTGTGAGACATGGGCAACACTTAAATGCACAGAAAATAAAGCAATGTCTATTCTTTCTGTTACTAGTTTTTCACTCATATGCAGCTTTTTTGTCTACTTTTCTTTGCCTTGTTTGTCTCCATAGCGTTCATTATCACCCATTGTCATCTAGCAGCTGTTTCACAGCCTGTCATTTTTTTTTTCCATAGTTGTAGATGTTTATCTTTAGCCACTGACGTCCTGTCTATGGCACAACATCATATTTGTATCATATTTACAGTGTTTTTGTTACTCTTTTTTCCGTTTTATAGTGTCTATCTTATATAAAGTTATTGTTTTATATTTATATTAATTTTTAATATTTTCTTATGTGCTTTATGTCATTTTGATTAGTTTTTTTAATATTACTGTTTAGGTTTAATTTAGTTTTCTTTACTAGTTTTTCTAGATTTTTATATTTATTAATTAATAATAATGTATATTTATAACTTATGTATAAGTGTATACATATGCATGTTTGTGCATGTTCATAATATATGTGTGTGTGCGTGTGTGTGTACTTGTTTATGCTACATTGTGGGGACCAAATGTCCCCACAAGTATAGTAAAACCTGAAATTTTTTACATTGACGAGGGGGAAAAAAATGATTAAAAATAGTAAATGATGTTTATCTGAAAGTGTAACAATGCAAACATGTTTTCTGTAATGGGTAGGTATAGGGTTATGGTTGGGTTAGGGAATAAAAACATATCGTTTGGTCAGTATAAAAGTAATAGAAGTCTATGAAAAGTCCCCACAATTCACAGAAACAAACGTGTGTGTGTGTGAGCAGTGGGACAGGTGGAGAGTCAGTAAAGTAAACTCAGATTACTCTGTATGCCCATCGTATCCATCTGCGGTCATTGTGCCTCGTGAGGTGGATGATGACAAGCTGATCCGCTCAGCCAGGTTCAGACAGGGCGGCAGATTTCCTGTGCTCTCCTATTGTCACCATAGGAATGGAATGGTGAGTGTAGGATGTTTTCTTATATCTCAAATATACGTGTATGTAACCATATATTGCATAAGAACTACATTTCTCATCAAAGCAAAAAATACATAATATAGATCAAAATGTCCAAAGTAAAAGTTATTTGTATCCATTGCCGAGGTGATCATGCGAAGCAGCCAGCCTTTGACAGGAGCCAATAAAAAGAGATGTAAGGAGGATGAGCTCCTTCTCCAGGCTGTGATTGATGGGTCAGAGTTGGGTTACATTATCGATCTGCGTTCTGCCCAGCAAGCCCAGCAGGCCCGCATGACAGGAGGAGGTTTTGAGTCTAAATCCTGTTATAGCCACTGGAAAAGAATCCATAGACACCATGAAAGGTGAGAGGGAACATGTCATTTTAATAGTCTGAAAATATGTTTTGCTATGATTTTGCATGTAATTGTGTCATTTACAGGGGTAAGGTTGTGCAGGAGAGTCTTACTAAGCTGGTGGAAGTGTGCAGTGACCCGTCGCATAGTGTGGACCGCTGGCTCAGTAAATTGGAGAACTCCAAATGGCTTTCTCATGTTCACAGTGCGCTGTCCACTGCAGGCCTGGTGGTAGAGTGTGTGGAGAGGTGGGAAGATCTTTTACTTTGGTCTTTTAAAGCAGCACTATGTAACTTTTTCTGTGTTCAAAATTTGCAAAATGTATATAATGAGCGAGTACATCATGAATTCATCTTCCAAACCGCGTTTTTTGTCTTATTCCTAATCACTACGGTACACTTATAATAAATACTTATATTTTGACTATTGTAGCCTGGTCGGGTCGTCACCGCTGCGGAGTAACACATACCTGCGTGAATCGCCTTAGGCATAAATTTAGAGAAGTAGCTCCGGTTGGAATGTTCTTCCGCGGGATGTGTGCAGTTCTGTTTATTAACCGCTAGAGCGCCAAAAGTTACATAGTGCTGCTTTATAGGTGCACCACGAAATTCTGGGCTGTCTGTCGCCATCTGTGGTTCATACATAAAATTGCAGTTTTAGTGTAGTAGGCTTTCTGTAGTGACTCAGAATAAGACAAGAACACGTTTGACACATGTTTCAATGTACTGGCTTAAATAATTTCTAATGAAACATTAATGGCAAAACATCTGCATTGCACTTTAATTGTGGTTTGTTATTTACATTCTCTGTTCTATTATTTTGTTCATTGCTTTGTGTGACTAACAGATCAATACATTTTATGTATTGTATGTTGTGATGCTTTTTATGTCCGTTTTGGTTGACCAGCATATTTCTGAATTTGTTTCTATTCAAATTTGGTGTAGCATTCATCAAAAGTCACTGAATAATTTAATAATGTAGGATAGTCTTTAACTGATTTCAACAATTGTTTTAGCTTTCTTGAATGCCTTCTGGTTGATATACTTAAATTTTCTTTATATTACATTTACAATGTATACACTACAGTTCTAAAGTTTAGGGTTAGTATGATTTTACAAGGTTTTTGAAAGAAGTCTTTTATGCTCACAAAGTCTACTGTACAGGTGCATCTCAATAAATTAGAATGTTGTGGAAAAGTTCATTTATTTCAGTAATTCAATCTTTTTGTTGATGTGTTTGTTTGTTTGATTAAATGTGAGCCAAAATCATCACAATTAAAAGAACCAAAGACTTAAACTACTTCAGTCTGTGTGCATTGAATTTATTTAATACACGAGTTTCACAATTTGAGTTGAATTACTGAAATAAATAAACTTTTCCACGACATTCTAATTTATTGAGATGCACCTGTATATTTGATCAAAAACAGAGTAAAAACGGTAATATTATTACAATTTAAAATAACTCTTATTTTTTTAATACAATTTAAAATATAATTTATTCTTGTGATGGCAAAGCTGAATTTTCAGAAATCATTGTAATATGCTTATTTGTTGCTCAAGAAACATTTATTATTATTATCAACATTGAGAACAGTTGTCCTGATTAATATTTTTATGGAAACTGAGATGCAAATATTAGTTCTACCGCATTACTCTCAGATGTACTGGTTCAGGCTTTTTTTCACCCTGTGCTTACACATGGCTTTGGGATGTATTTTTCTGGCGTGCCGTCTGTTTTTGAAGGGTGGTCACTGCAGGCCCATGCATGGGTTTGAGATGTATTGCTCTGGTCTGTGGTCTGTTTTTTGCAGGGATGGTCACTCTGTACTTGTGCATGGCTCTGAAGGGACAGACAACACGCTGCTGGTGAGCTCATTGGCTCAGCTTGTCCTAGACCCTGCCTCTAGAACTGTCACTGGCTTCCTCTGCCTGCTAGAGAGGGAATGGATACAGGTGAATGTGTGATTGTGTGACATAATGTGCGATTAGGTGTGTCGTGTGTGTGGTGAATTTTGTTAAAGCTTATGAATGCATTACAACTAAAAAGAACTTGGTTACTAAACTACTATACCTAAAATTAGTCTCAGATCTGTTTGTTAGAAAGTTGATGAGTTGCATGCTTGTTTCTCAGGCTGGACACCCATTCCAGCAGCGCTGTGCTCATTCGGCGTACTCTCATGCCCGTCTGAAGCAGGAGTGCCCAATCTTCCTGCTGCTGCTTGACTGTGTGTGGCAGGTGTGGCGGCAATTTCCTCTGGCACTGGAGTTTAGTGAGGCCCTGCTGCTCCGACTGGCACAAGAGGTTTATGCTTCTAACTATGGAACCTTCCTGTGTAACAGCGAGCAGGAGAGGTGGGCACAAATTACCCTTATATGACACTCATTACACATTACCATTTAAAAGTTCAAAATTATAAAAAAAAAATTTTTTTTTTAAAGTCTCTAATGCGTACCAAAGTTGTATTTATTTGATCAAAAATACGTACAGTACAATAGTAATATTGTAAAATATTACAATTAAATTAGCTGTGCTCTGTTTTAATATATTTTAAAAACTAATTTATTCCTGTGATACGCTAACATTCAGTGTTCCCTGTTGAAAAACCAGCATATGCTGGTTAGGTATGTTTTGAAGCATGGCTGCTGGTTTGGCCTGGTTTAAGCTGGTCATGTGCTGGTCTTAAGCTGATCCTAAGCAGGAGATAGGTGCTTAGGACCAGCACATGACCAGCTAAGGACCAGCTTAAACCAGCCAAAACCAGAAGCCATGCTTCAAAACATACCTAACCAGCATATGCTGTTTTTTTCAACAGGCTTTCATGATCCTTTAGAACTTGTTCTAATATGCTGTTTTGTTGCTTAAGAAACATTTCATATTATCAGTGCTGAAAACAATTGTGCTGCTTAATATTTTTGTGGAAAATGTATTACATGTTTATTCTCTAACAGAGTAAAAGTCTTTACTGTCACTTTTGATTAATATAACACCTTGCAGAAAAATATTAATAAATTATATTAAATATTATTACCTTGATATATTTAATATCGACTGAGTAAGGCCATGTCAAAGATTGAAATCATAGTGAAATTAATGTTTGAAATTATCTCATAATTAGATTTTGAGACTTTAGCCTGGATTTCACAAAGAGGGTCTATTTTAAAATGTATAAAATTGATTTCTTTATTTTTATTTTTGCCTGAGCTAGATGTGCTGCAGGAGTGAAGGAGAACACACACTGTTTGTTTCAGTCCCTGTTGAAGCCTGATATTGAAGAGCAGTACCTCAACCCACTGTATGAACCCACTGATTTGGCCATTTGGCCCTCAGTACATCCACAGTCCTTACAGCTATGGACAGGTGAGTTACTGTTGCAATGTGATAAAATGATTGCAAGTTAAAAATGTAAGATAAATTATTGAAATTTCTTGGTATTATTGGTATGTAAAGTCAGCTTTACTGATTTTAAGCAAAAGAAAAAACATATACTTACATCCTTAATGTCCTCATTATCCTTGTATGGTATTTGGGTAGGGATGTTCCTCAGGTGGACTGAGTATGCTCAGAACATGGAGGAAGCGCGAGAAGAGGTGTGGAGCATTGTGAAAGAGCACCGTGAGCGAGCTGGACCCGACCGGACCAATAACACGCTTAGTACACACTGTGACACCTTGACCCCGTTTGAGAACCTCATGGATGAGCTGACTATCTTGTGACCTCATGGTCGAAAAGATGTTGTAGAGCCTGTTACTACTATGTGTTTCTTTGCAAGAGGTTTGTATCACTGCCAATCAGATATACCGGCATTTAAAGAGCTTTTAGATGTTATGTAATTTACGATAGCCATCATTTAATAATAATCAGACAAAATGGGCATTACGGCCTTCTGTCTGAACTTCAAGCAAAATGCTAAACAGTAAACAGTCTCAAATAGGGGAAAATGTAGGTTTGTTGTATTGTGTTTGATTAGTTTGTTGTTGAAATTTACTGTGGTTACATGAGACAGCATCAGTCATGATGTTTTACTGTAAACATTTTTCACACTGTTACAGACAGCTGAATGTTAAATATTAAAGGGGTCATATGATGTTGCTAAAAAGAACATTATTTTGTGTATTTGGTGTAATGAAATGTGTTTATGCGGTTTAAGGTTAAAAAAACACTTTATTTTCCACATACTGTACATTATTGTTTCTCCTCTATGCTCCGCCTTTCTGAAACGCGTCGATTTTTACAAAACTCATCGGTCTGAAAAACGAGGTGTGCTCTGATTGGCCAGCTATCCAATGCGTTGTGATTGGCCGAATACCTCAAGAG